GGAAGGATAACTGAATCCCTCCAGTGGAATTATAAACCCCTTGGAAGGATATCTGAATCCCTCCAGTGGAATGTAAATCACCCTGCGTAAAGTTTTAAATTGTAAAAAGCATTTTTTTTAACCCCTCCAGTGAAAATAAAATCCCTCCGGTGGTCTCCAGTAGAATCGAAATCTTACTACGAACTTCTTTGAGTCAAATAATTCCAGAATTTATTGTGGTGAAGCTAAAACCAAGTTCAGTCTAGAAGGAACCCTATGATTGAAACAAACGGAGAACGTTAGATTTTATCATTTTAATGATTATTATTTCCTTTGGTTTAAGTAATAATTGATTAAAAAAATACATACTTGGTCGGCGTCTATATCAATACAACGAAGATGAAGTGTTAATTAATTTGATTTGTTACAATAGAAACAGTTAAATGACAGCTTCTCTTTGTTTCTATAATTATGTATATCCATGCTGTTTGAAATCGAAAATCGTCTTCGTTGTATTAATATAAACAACGACGAATGTATGTTTAATGCAGTAGACCTCCATTTCAGAAACGTTTAAAGGATTTTATTGAACTTGAAACTTGGAAAACTTAAAAGAATACTGTAATAACTCATACACTAAACCATGGTTCATGAATGCATATATAATAATGAATAACCTTCCATACTATCAAACTGTAAATTGTGTTCATGATACAGCTTAAAAGATATTGGGATTGGAAAATTTAAAGTTGGTAACAAGTGTTAAATTCCTTTCTATTAAAATTTACAAAATTACTGCTTGAATTCTGCAGCATAGAACATGAAAGAAGAAAGCTGTTATAAATGTAGTTGAATCAAAATCTTTTGTTATTATAAAACTAGAGTGCATTGCAGGGAAATAGGCTGCGGTGGATCCTACTTAATCTTTTCTCAGACAAAACTAAATCTCTACCTTACTTTCAAATATTTAAAGACACAAGAAAATTTTGTCTGAAAATCAACCAGAAATTCTAATATTTAAAGAGACTGTAGGCGTAATTTTAAAGGGACCTTCATTGTAATTTTATCAAATGTAGGAGATTAGACTCATCCTATACATTATACTGTAATATTGTATCTTTCTAAATATATAAGATGTAGGAGCTTAGACTCATTGTTCATTATACAGTAATATTGTATCTTTCTAAATATATAAGATGTTTTAGCTACGCTCGATATAAACAACGCTCGGTTTAAATAACTACTTTATTACTGGTAAAAATACAAATTTAAGTTTTAGTTATTGAATCAAAATATCAAGGTGACGTGGCAGTATTTGAGTAGTCTTCCTTCTACGTTATTCTGAAGAAAGAACTCTTCTCCTCCCATACGGTGAATGATAGACGAGGTCCTGGCTGGGTCTTTTAGCTGAAAACAGTTTTCAAAGATCTAAAAATAAAAAACATATATCTAGTTTTTTTCTCGCTATTTCTTTTAGATCTTACAGTTCTTCAATGGTTCTAAACTAGCTAGAACATGCCGTGGTCACACTGCATCAAAACTTTGATTAATATTATATCCCAAGAGTTGATAATGAATCTTTATGTCGATTTGCTTTCTTTGATTTGCCTAAATGTCTAAATAATCCTGAAATATCAAGTATAAACTTTCGTTTTCATCTACGATTAAAAATCATTTGCTGTCAAAGAGTGAAAATTTTATTTCTGAGAGCGGTAAGCAACTGATTTGCAATTATGAGATAATTCAGTATTGAAAATATAAGAAGAAAAGGGTTATTAACAAAACTTGAAAGATATTTACAGATATTTACAATACAAAAAAAAGGAAACTTGAAAAATATTTACAATGCAAAAAAATAAAACTTGAAAGATATTCTAGAACAGTTGAAAGATACAACACCAAAAAGGAAACTCGGAAGATGTTCACAACATAAAAAAGAATGTTTGAAAGATATTTAAACACAAAAAAAGAAAAGTTTAAAAGATATTTACAAAACAAGAAAGAAAAGTTGAAAGATATTTATAACATAAAAGAGAATATTTTTACTGTCAATAAATATTGTATTATTTTGCATTCACTGA